CAGTCAGTCATTCAGTCATTCAGTCATTCATTCAGTCAGTCATACAGTAAACTTTCCGCGGGGTGTATACGATATATGTTCGTAGTGATTTATCGTACTTAGTCTGTGCTTTGAAGGTTATTTAGGCAATTTCAGTTGTCTTATTTAAATATTATTTAGGCCTTTTGCCAAGTTTTGCCAAGTTTACAAAAAAATTCGAGGAATTATTGTCGTTATTGTAAATTTTATAACATGCGCTTCTCGTGTTGTGTAAAGGATTTTTCTCCCGGAACACCCGATTTTTTCTTTAGCAGCGCAAATGCGCATGCGCTATCAAGCCGTAGATCACGATGGCGTGACGATGCTAGGAAGGAGCGAGACAGTGTTGTTTTGAAATGTATAAACATTTCAGACGTGAATATTGAGTAAATCTTCGAGAATCTACGCAATATATAAATTGATGTTACGCATTCAATTAAGTGCCGATATTTTTTAGACCGGTATATTCATTTTACAGAGCTAGCAAGGAGCTAGGACATGCAGTGCTTTTTTCAAGTGTATATATTAAACATTTCAGACGTAAATATTGAGTCGAAAATCTTTGAGATTCTAGGCATTCAATTGAGTGCCGATATTATTTTCACGGTATACCCATTATACAGAGGTAGGAAAGAGCGAGAGAGTGTTGTTTTCAAATATATAAACATTTCAGACATGAATATTGAGAAAATCTTTCAGATTCTACGCAATATATAAATTGATGACGTTATGCATTACCGGCGCCCAATTATAAGTGCCAGAAGATACATTGTTTAGGCCGTGTATTCATTATACATTGGGCACATTGGCTGTATAAGGTGCTACACCACAGAATAGATGGCTACACTCAGTACAAAGAGCGAAATTTGCATCAGACAAAGCGTATTAAACAACTATTAAACAGAAGCGGGTGTTCAGTATGGCGTTTATTATACGAAGAAATTAACTTGTGAGTTGTGATCGAGACTAAAAGAAATCAGTTAAGTCTGCAGAGCTCTTTATTTAAACAAGAAAGACGAGGATCGAGTTATAGCCAACGTGTTATCGCCAATCGCTTGGCTTGCCAATAAGCTTTATGCAATAGAAGAAAAAAGCAAGGAGGTAGCCAAACGTGTATCGTCAAGGACTTACTTTGTTTACTGTCTAGCACAACGTCAACAGTGCAAACTCGTGTTCAGTGCAACGATGACTCTACCAGATCTTACAAGAATCAATCTGTACACAGAGCCGTATCAAAGCTTGTTAAAACTGCTATAAACACTGCTATAACTGTGAAACTATTGAAATCTAAAGTGACATTATTGAATACATGCGAAAAGCTGAAATTGACTCATGAAACGCAATGTGACATTGCCATTGGGAATATAAAGTCAAAGGTCAATCAGACTTGTTATTGTGAAACATGTCACAATTAGGTTAAAATGCGGAAGCGGATGAAGCGGATCCACGGAACGGATATGGGGATAAAATATAGAACGGATGGGGATAAAATGCGTTCTTTTAATGATACAACATCGTAGCTAGTGCTTATTATTCATAACATATCTTGTACAGCTATATTTGGGTGATGGGAATAATCATATTAAATAAGTTCAGCGTATCAGTAGCCTCGTTAGGATGCTTTTAGCGACAACTGCAAATGCAAATGAAGTTTTAGAATATGCAAAATTTGGGTGTTGGTGAAACAATTTAAATTTCAAGTTGTCGCGTGTAGCATCACAATAAATAAATAAATTTTATCAGTTCCACGAGGCACGTTTCTGATCTGTTAGGCTTGTTTCAAACGTGGCGCTACTCATGTGCCGAACGCATTATAAAATAGATAATGAGATGAAATGCCTTTGGTAACTGTTTATTTCGTAGTGTAAGCCATCAGCCTTTCTAGGTTGTCGGCAACCCTATATAGTTCTTGCAGTGTCTTTTTCAATTTGAAACTTCACACTATCCTTGGATCCCTAGTTGTTTGTGGAAACACCACGTAAATTTATGTTTCCACAAACAAAAACAATTATATTTTATCGCCATGCAAACATTCAAAGAACTTATATCAATCATAGCTGGTTGCCATGTAGCTTGCTTGTGATAAGACAATTAATTTTATCATTTTGTATGCCGACCAGTTTCCAAAGTCACATTTCTCGGCTGCTTTCCGCAACAGGTGGGAAAATTGTCGCCGCTGACAATATTTATCGCGGACGCTTTCTTTTTGCCAGCAAAAGTTGTGAAAACAACAAAAACACAGAATTCGCTACCCTGTTTCTTGTACTGCAACAGAGGAAAAGTAAAACAAAGCTGCAGACGTAAACTTTAATAAACGTTAATCAAGACCACAATTACTTGTCGCAATCAGGAAATTAGCAGTCAAGAATTCTTCGCTGAAACATGACCGAAAATGACGTTTCTTGCAAAATGTGTGTTTTTGATGGCAAATAACCTTGAGCAGGAACTTGATATTGATGGAATATTAGCTACTTGAAATTTGCAGTACATGCGTTTGTTGTCTAGGACAAAGTATAAATATTTGGTTTTTGAGTGATACTGTGCGCCAACGATCATCGTCAAATTTCAGTATGTGAGGTATTTTGCTCATAAAATTGCTTGTTTTTCACCTTAATTTTCTCATATATACAGATTGTGCCAATGAAATGTGATTAGGTCAGAACATGTGCTTTTCTTTCTAGTTTTTGCTAATAGAATGTAAACTCGCCTAAAAAATTAAGAAAGTACTGAATTTGGGCAAATTTCATGTGCAAGTGTGATTTAAACGAAAAAGGCGACTCAGAAAATGAGCATCGGAATAATCAGTTTGCCATGTATTATGCTATAATAGTTTTAAAATGTAATTTTTAGGTTTTCAAAGTATTTAAAAACAGATACACATAGCAATCAGATTTTTCTATGACCCTCATTTCGAAGCGTAAACTTTGTATTATTTTTAAACACAATTTTCGCTCGTTCAAAATTCTATAAACACAAATTTTGTCATGTTACAGGTTGTGCCAACGAAATATCGCTGTTTTACATTAAATTTCAAAGCATTTTTAAGTCGGTATTAAATTTTTTGGCTTTGTAAAAAATGAAGAAGTACTAGTATTTTTGGTTTGAATATCACATTTTATTGAAACTATCAGACGATATTTTAAAAGGAAATTTTTTGCTCTGTTTCGTTTTGCACTGAAATAATCTATATTAATAGTTTACATTGTAAAATATGTGGCAATAGAGGAAATTAAAGTATTACTGCAACATTTTTTGTCAGTGAATCCAATTTTTGTGGTGATTTGTTGGCCTAAACATCCGCTGCAAAATTGTCTTTCGAATGCTTCGTTCACGGTGTCTGTAATATACCAACTCCCAACTCCCCAACCTCGCCGTATTAAATTACCGATTGGTGATAATTTATCTTAATATTATGTAATTTATGCTTCTACCAAACTTGTCAAAATGGCGGATTTGCTCCTTCAAAAGGAGCTTAGCAGCGACGAACGATTTAGGCCATGTTCCTGTGGAAATGGCGGGAGAAAAACCTCCAGCGAACCCGTCGAAAAGTGGGAGTTATCTTGTCGACAAGAAGGTGGTTGGCATCGACTGGAAGGCGGAAGCATACTACAAACTCGTAGTATGCCACGAGCTTGTAGTATGTTTCCAGTCGATGCCAACCGCCTTCTTGTCGACAAGATAACTCCCACTTTTCGACGGGTTCGCTGGAGGTTTTTCTCCCGCCATTTCCACAGGAACATGGCCTAAATCGTTCGTCGCTGCTAAGCTCCTTTTGAAGGAGCAAATCCGCCATTTTGACAAGTTTGGTAGAAGCATAAATTACATAATATTAAGATAAATTATCACCAATCGGTAATTTAATACGGCGAGGTTGGGGAGTTGGGGAGTTGGGAAGTTGGTATATTACAGACACCGTGAACGAAGCATTCGAAAGACAATTTTGCAGCGGATGTTTAGGCCAACAAATCACCACAAAAATTGGATTCACTGACAAAAAATGTTGCAGTAATACTTTAATTTCCTCTATTGCCACATATTTTACAATGTAAACTATTGATATAGATTATTTCAGTGCAAAACGAAACAGAGCAAAAAATTTCCTTTTAAAATGTCGTCTGATAGTTTCAATAAAATGTGATATTCAAACCAAAAATACTAGTACTTCTTCATTTTTTACAAAGCCAAAAAATTTAATACCGACTTAAAAATGCTTTGAAATTTAATGTAAAACAGCGATATTTCGTTGGCACAACCTGTAACATGACAAAATTTGTGTTTTTGCGGAAAGCAGCCGAGAAATGTGACTTTGGAAACTGGTCGGCATACAAAATGATAAAATTAATATAATTGTCTTATCACAAGCAAGCTACATGGCAACCAGCTATGATTGATATAAGTTCTTTGAATGTTTGCATGGCGATAAAATATAATTGTTTTTGTTTGTGGAAACATAAATTTACGTGGTGTTTCCACAAACAAAAACAATTATGATTGATATGTTTGCAAAAGGAGCTGACACTTGATCAGCTACTGGTGAAAGCACTGAAGAGAGAAGATGCCATGGCCATGAATGAGGTCATCATGCACAAAAAAGACGGGGAGAAAGAGTAGTTAAATAGAGTGAAGCAACGATATCCATTTAAAGATCCACACCAACAGAAGGAAGAGACACAACTGAAAGGCAAGTATGCAAGCAAAGACAGAGACGTACGAAGAGCAATGCTTGCACAGTGGTAGTCGACGACACAAAATGAGAGGAGAATGCTCAGCTCTAGGGAAAAGTGTGACTTTTGCAAGAAAACAGAACATTTCGCCAAAATTTGTTTTAAAAAACTGGTAAACAGCATTTAAAGAGGGAAGGTGAAGAGATACACGAGGCGGAAAATGATACTGAAACGAACAATTAGACCACAATGAACAAGATGAAGACCATGATGAAGTTGATATCGAACAAGATAATGAAGGATCAAACGATGCTAATGCAGAACCACTAGCTTATTTTATTTATTTATTTATTAAGCTTGTGCCGTCAAACAATACTTAATTAGCGTGCAGTTACAAGAACAGAAAGGCTCAAGAACATCAACACAGCGTGACTCGAGCCAATTACGTTGATGACCTGGTTCACACACGCAATCTATACGACACACAATATATACACTCTTTCGATAACCATGTTACAAATCCTTCCCTTGCGTGCATGGGAGCCCTACCCTGATGAAATATGTGCTTGGCTAGCTCAAAGACTATGAAACACAGGGCCTATTCTAAGGAAATTTCAATACTGCACAGTTCACAGCAGGTGTCATCAATGACGTCACAGGGTGACGTCATCTTTGAATTGTTATATGTTATGTAGAACATAATGACAACATACAGGGTGTTCCCCAAAAGTAAACTGTTTCAAATTCAAATCAGCCATAACCTATATTGTAGTAAGTCGCTGATGCGATACAAATAATCCTCAATGAATAGAGCTGTCAAATTAATACTTTTTTAGACAACCTGTTGAATGACAACATGACTTTTTCCTTGGACATAGTCAGATGAGCACGTAATGTTGTAAAATATTGAATATTGGAATTATTACCGGAAATCGGCCTATATTTGGCCAATCTTTATTTGTACCTTTGCTCATTTTGTAGAAGGCATTTTGGAATTCTCGACTTTATTCTTTATCTACTTCACTCCTTCAACACATCTAATACAAAATTGAAACTTATTTCTAGATATTTTTTATAAATAGAAAACATGATTAGGCAAAGTCCAACTTCCGATGTTTTGCAAATATCTCTTAGTATATCAATTCAAAAGTGCCCTTTCACGAAAATCTGCCCCCCCCCCTTGCCTTCACATCGTTCCGGCGTCCCTGCATCCACAGCGGGCAAGCTGAAAAGTTTGCTTGGCCACGGTGGGAGTCGAACCCGCGACCTTTGAGATACTAGTCCAATGCTCTGCCAACTGAGCT